CCCCCCCCCCCCCGCCTGGGCCCCCCGGTACATGCCTGGATTCAGAAGTCACACAGTTGTGGGTGTAAATCTGCTGTATCGCACATCTGTGCCAGCCTCCCTCTGTGCTTAGGGAACTGGGGCTGACCAGCCGGCCACAAGAACCTGCAAGGGCCCGATGAACTCGTAGGTGTGCTTGGCATGTAGGAACAGCTCTGCACCACTGTCAGATCTCACTCTGAAGTTCTTTTTTTAAAAAGGAGCATGGACCTTTCATAGAGGGAAACAAAAAGCTTATTACTTCCTTTTTGGCCTTTCTTTGTGTGGATAAAGCTGGGAGCCTCAGTCCAGTTTGTCTTCCAGTGCTATGGGAAAGACCAGCAATTAGTGAAATGCTCCTAGAAATGTTGTGAAAGTACAGATTGAATCATCAAACCCTCTCTTAACCCTGAGCGGGCACAGCAGTGAGAGAGAGGCAGAGTGTGACCCCTCTTCCTTGCCTTTGCAGAATGCAGAGAGCTGTTTACAGCAGAAGAATGAAGCCATCACATCTTTTGAAGAAAAAACCAACCAGGTTATGTCCAGCATGAAACAGATGGAAGAAAGGTAATCACTCCCTGTGGCAGATACTCCCTAGAAGGTGCTGGACATTCCCCAGGCCCGGGAACTTACTCAGAGTCTCTCTCAAAAGGTCAGACAACTTGGGATGAAAGTCCTTTGGGATTGTAGTCTTGCTGAGCAAGGGGGCTGGATTCCCATCCTTGCCTAAGTGTGTATTCCCTTAATCAATCTCTGGGTGACTGTATCACATTGTCTTCTCAGGAGTCAGACCCATACAGTGAGCTCCTTGTCACCGACACACTTAAACATCAGTCTGTAATGGGTCAGAATAGAGCCTGAAAGCAGACCCCAACGAATATGGCAACTGATTTTCTTACAGAGGTGCAAAGGCAGTTCAAGGGAGAAAGGAAAATCTTTTCAATAAATGATACTGGGACAATCGGACATGCATAAGCAAAAAAAAATGGACCTTGGTTGTGTACTTCCTATCTTCTACAAAAATTAGCTGGAAATGGATCATAAGTCTAAATGGAAAACTTAAAACTTACAACCTCTAGAAGAAAACCTAGGAGAAAATCTTTGTGATCTTGGATTAGGCAAAGAGATCTTAGACATGACATAAAAGCATGGGATCCAGGGCCCCTGGGTGGCTCAGTCAGTTGAGTGTCCAACTCTTGATTTCGGCTCAGGTCATAATTTCACGGTTCATGAGTTCGAGTCCCATGCCAGGCCCTGTGCTGGCACTGCAGAGCCTGCTTGGGATTCTCTCTCTCAGCCTGCTCTCTCTTGCTCTCTCTCTCTGTCAAAATAAATAAATAAAAACTTAAAAAAAAGTAATACTTTTGAAAAGCATGGTGTCCATGGGAGGAAAAACTTGATAAGTTGGACTTTATCAAAAGGTAAAACCTTTGTGCTATGAAAGACATGGTTAAGAGAATAAAATGACCAGCTAGAGATTGACAGAAAACTTGCAAATCACTTAACTGACAAAGTTATATATTCTGTCTCCAGAATATATAAAGAACTCTCAAAACTCAACAGACAACCCAGTTGAAAAATGGACAAAAGACTTGAACGGACACTTCGCCAAAGAGGACGTAGGGATGGCAAATAAGCACACAAAAAGATGTTCAGTGTCAGTAGCCATCAAGGAGGTACATGTTTTGTTATGTTTTGTTTTAAATATTCATTTTTGAAAGAGTGCAAGCAGGGGAGGGGCAGAGAGAGGGGGACAGAGGTGGGCTTTTGTGCTAACAGCAGTGAGCCCTCTGTGGGTTCGAACTCACAAACCGCAAGATGAGGACCTGAGCCAAGGCAGACACTCAACCAGCTGAGCCACCCAGGCACCCCCAGGGAAGTACATGTTAAAATCACAGTGAGATGCTACTACACACCTGTTAGAACAGCTAAATATCTTTTTAATGACAATACCGAGTGCTGATGGGGCTACAGAGCAACTAGAACTCTCCTACATGACCGGTGGGGATGCCAAATGGTACAGCCACATTGGAAAACAGTGTCTTAAAATAAAGCTAACCTTACTCTTCCATCTGACCCAACAATCCCACTCCTGGGTATCAGCCCAAGAGAAATGGAAACTAATGTCCTTACAAAAGCCCATACACAAATGTTTGTAGCAGGTCTATTCATTATTGTCAAAACTAGAAGCGAGTTAGAGGTGTTTCATCGAGTGAAGTAAGAATAAACTGGTACCCTGTACAGTGAAATAGTACTCAGGCAGAGGAAGGAATGAGCCACTGATCCACAAACTTGATTTCAGCGATACTAAGCTGAGAGAAAGAAGCCAGGCTTAAAACGTTATTTATATAAAGTATGATTCCACTTATAGGACACTCTGGAAAAGAAAAAGTCATGGTATCAGAGCCGATCAGGGGTCAGGGGTGGGAAGGGAGCCTTCAGGGGTGACAGAACTGCTCTGTCTCTTGATCACCATGGTGGTTCCATGGGTCTATCCATGTGCTAAAAACTCTGGGAATTGGGCACACGCATGAGTCAATCTTACTGTGTGCATATTTACAATGAAAGCCACGAGAACAGGAAAACACGACACCTTGGTGGCGAGGGTGGCTCCTTTCCTTATGCAGATGTGCTTGCTTCGGTGCAGGTTACGGCAGTCTGAAAGGGCCAGGCAGGGGGCCGAGGAGCGGAGCCACCGGCTGCAGCAGGAGCTGGGCGGCCGGACGTGTGCTTTGCAGCAGCAGCTCTCACAGTTGCATGAGCAGTGGTAGGCGGGCGGCCCGGTGGGGGGCGGGGTGGGGGGCGGGCCGTGGCCTCTTCGAAGTTTAACCCTCATCTCCTGCGAGGCTGGAATGAGGGTTTGAGCGTGCATGTAAAGCCCAGTGATGAGTGACAGATGTCTGTGTTTCACAAATGAGAGAGCTGGTTCGGGGGTTCAGGAACGTCCCAGGGCCACTTGGCTGGTGAGCAGCGGGGGGTGGGGGAGCCCAGTAGCTTTCTCCTGCCCCCACCCCCAGTGTCCTCCAGTGGGAGCTGGCTCTGGGTTGGAAAAAGCAGAACTCGTGTTGCAACCCCCCACTCCCCAGGTCTTGCCTCAGTAGGGGATCCCACAGGTGCAGCCCTAAGTGTCCCCAGGCCCTTTTGCTTTCTTTCGGCTCACATGCAGTCAAGTGTGCACCTGCCCTTCTTCCCCTTGAGGGGTCCCGGTGTCCCCTGTGGAGGGGCAGGCAGCCCTGCTCCAGTGACGGGTTTAGATACGCATGTGACGATGTCAATTCCAATTCCCCGTTCCCTGTGTGGTGAATTGGGTTGGTGATTGTGCAGTTTCCGTGCAAATCTCCCACTGAGACTAACTCCAGTTCATTTTGGGAAAACAGCTCAAGTCTAGAGAAAGAGCTGAAATCAGAAAAAGAGCAAAGACAGGCTCTTCAACGAGAATTACAGCTGGAGAAAGACACTTCCTCTCTGCTCCGAGCAGAGCTACAGCAAGTGGAAGGATTAAAAAAGGTAAGGCAGGGGTGCCTGGGTGGCTCGCTTGAGTGTTGGACTCTTGATCTCAACTCAGGTCACGATCTCGCAGTTCATGAGTTGGAGCCCCACATCATGCTGTGTGCTGACAGCATGGAGCCTGCTTGGGATTCTCTCTTTCCCTTTCTCTGCCCCTCCCCTGCTCACTCACTCACTCTCTAAATAAATAAATAAACAAACTAAAAAAAAAGAAAAGTAAGGCAGCCATCCTTGGGAGAAAAAGAGCTACCAGTGTCTCTGGAAACTGCAACCACAGAGCCAGAGCTGTGCCCATGGAGCTGCTGCTCTGGGCAGCCGGTGCACACACCAGACACTCAGGGATGAGTGCTGTGAACAGAACATTCCCTGCTGTGGGCAGGGGTGGTCTGGGAAGAGTGACGGGCGGATCTGAATGACAGCAAGGGACGGCTATGCACAGGTCCAAGCTAAGAACCTCTCAGGCAGATAGCAGGAAGTGTGAGGGTCTGTCGTGGTCAAGGAGCAGAAAGAAGGGCCATGAGGCTGAGGTGTGGCGAGCGGAAGAAGGAAGCACTGGAGCTGAGGCCTCAGGTGGGCAGACCGATCTCGGGCCCCCAGAGCTGCACGAAGGGATTTGGATTTTATCTTGAGCATGGTAAGAAGCTGTTGGGGGCATGGAGGGGGTGGGGGAGGTACATGGCCCACTTCATTTTAAGACCATCACCAGCTACTGTGTGAGAATGGGTGGCGGGCTTGCAAGAGAGGAAACAGTAAGCATGAACATCTTCCACCAAGTGCCACACCTCCACCCCAGAGGGGCTCGGCCTAGGGTCAGGTATCCTGGTTCCCCAGAACTTTCTGGGCCTGGGCCACCCCTGGGAAGCCAACCGAACCAGTCTCTGCCTGGAGTCACCTCGGTCCTCTGGTGAAGGTGAGGCCTGGATCCTATGGAAAGCTTCAGGGAGAGAGATGTTGGGGTGCCAGAATGGCATCTCTGTCTGGTTGCAGAACTAGATCTCCCAGGGAACCCAGGCAGTCTACAAGTCTTCCCCGATGATAAAATCGCCAGGCATCTCCCGCAAAGGCTGGAGGTCCCCACAATGCTGGTGGGAGCAGCTGCAGCCTGGTAGGGGGTGTCCCTGGCTACTGCAGCCTCTCCTGGTGGGACTGGCATGCCTTCCGCACCACACCTGCCCTGGCGGAGGGTCCTTGAGGCTGGGGCAGCTCCCAGACCCGGATCTCGTTGTGCTGAACGTGGTAATGGGTCCTGCTGCACAATCTGAATGAGCCAACAAAGGCACTTTGGTTTCTGTTGAAAAGTGTCTATAGAGCCCCTTGCTGGGGAGCCCACTAGGCCAGGGGTGAGGAGGACCTCTGGGGAGGGGAGAAGTTCCTCATGAGCCTCTCAGGCTTGGAAAAGGGAGGAGAAGAAATGGAGGGCAGAAGAGGACTCCCAGAAAGTTCTGCATCGTACCTCCTTTATTCCACTCCCAACTACTTTGGTGTAAGATTTGAATCGCTTGCCCTCCCCACCTCCCACCCGCACTTACATACACACACAAGAAACAAAATGTATCTGACATCAGCGGGGTGCCCTGTGCCGTGTGCCTGTGACAGCAGGCTCTGGGGCGGCTGGGAGGGAAGTGCCCACCACTTAGGCCTAAGCCCTGAACCGCACTGTCCTGGGTCTTCTGTCCTGGCCCTCGCCAGCCTGTGTCAAGGTGCCCTGTTCTCAGGTTACGATGGTTGTCACTGTGTGAGCTGCTCTCCCCACATGCACGAGAATGAGATCCCAATCTGGGCCTTCATCAGCCTTGTTCACTCACTCACGACCAGCCCTTTCCAAAAAACACTATCCAGACAAGCCTTCCCTGGGCAAGTGACCTACAGTTCTATAGAAGTTTCACCTGTGTATTTTTGGAGGTAATTCTGTGTTTAAACAGTCCTTTAATAGCAACTCAGATGGGCAGAGCCTTGTTTGCCCTGGGAGGAGGACTGTTTGAATGGAGCTGTTTCCTGCTCCATGTCACTGTCCCCACCGCAGGGCCACCCCTGTAGCATTCACCTTGCAGTTGCCCATTCTGGAGAAACAGGCTGGTGAGAAGTAACCCACGAAATAACTCCGTCTGGAGTGCGGTTCATACAACAAAACTGCTTTTTGCGCTTGAAAAGCATTCTGCCCTTCTTGTTGCTGTGATCGCTAAGCCTTTTTTTTTTTT